AATAAAACATTTTTCCTTCAGGAGGGTCAGGATCCGTTACTGTTCACCCAGCCTCGTTAACTCTGGAGCCCCGCAGGGCGCCGGTCCGACTGGGGCACCGGTCCGACTGAGGGGCCGGTCCGACTGGGGGGCCGGTCCGACTGGGGGGCCGGTCCGACTGAGGGGCCGGTCCGACTGAGGGGCCGGAGCCCCACAGGCATGTCGGCTCACCAGCTCTTATTGATGAAATAGATGCAGAGCGGGTAGGCCGGCAGCTCCACCAGGCCGTACATGGCCACGTTAACGAAGCGACTCCCCGAGGTGGCGCTGGCTCCCAGGGTGAGGCCGTAATACACCAGGCTGCAGCAGTACCTGCAGCACGCACACACACACACACACACACACACACAGGTAGAGCGTTACCTGAGATCTGCTGAACGGGTCTCAGCTTCATCTTTTACTATCAGATCAGGAACATTGAACATCGGAGCTGGAAGAAAATTAACGGTAAAGAAAAACTTTCCTGTCCTGGAATAAAAAATGTGAGCAGGCCGAAAACACGAACTCTACTGTCTCAAAGGCCATTTAGCACTTAGATCCACACCCTGCTGACATCATGTCATCCAGCAGATGATGTCATCTAAGATGAACAAGATGTTTCAGTCCAACCGTCTGTTAGGAAACAGCAGCAAGAGAAAAAACTGGAAAAAAATGAATTTATAAATAAAAACTCACATTTACAAAGCATTAATGCCAGGCTAAGGAAAAAAGTAACTTAGGAGACTAAAGTCACATCACTGCAAGAAAAATGAGTCTCAATAATACGAGAATAAAATCGTGTAAAAAAAGTAAAAAGTAATTAGGATAAAGTCATATTACCAGAATAAAATATGATAAAGTCACAAGAAACGTCTTAATGAGGAAAAGTCGCACCGATTCAAGACTGAAGTCATTTTATTAGAATAAAGTCTCAATAATACGAGAAATAAATCGTACGACAAAAAAGTCAAAATTATGAAAAAATAGTAATACAAGAAAAAAATCACAATAATAAGAGAAAGTGATCATTTTATAAAGTAAAACTAAAACTGATTTCCTGAATCAAAACTAAAACTCGTCTCAGTTCCACATCAGAGGCTCATTTATCTGGACTGAGGGTTAAAATGGCCCAACAGAACCGGCGGCCGGGTCCGATACTCACCACACGTACATGAGCACCATCGTCCTGAGGCGCAGCACCGGATGGACCGCCAGCTGCAGGACGCCACCCCGCCTCCTCGCCGGGCCGCCGGGCCTGGCGGCGCCGACCCGCTGCAGAACCAGGCTGGTGGCGTTGCTGCCGTTCCTCAACGCCATGAAGCGCAGAACCTGAGATTACAAACACAAGATGTCAACATTTAGTTTAAATTAAAGACGAGAAACCTGCAGAGTCATCGGGTTGGTTCTGAAGAGGAAATGGTTCTGAAACCCGAGATCAACTTTATTCACCTCTAAAACCTCAGAAACTGTTTTCTAACTTTACTCTGGATGGAACCGCAGAACAAACATCACCCAGAGAGAAGCAGCCCGTCTTCAACAAAAACGATTTAATCACCGATACTGTCGGTTTTCAGGACCCGAATGCTCCGGCTTTAAATGCCCTGGTTACAAAATACAGAAAATAAATAAGAAACTTAAAAGCTTACCACACAAGAAAATAATGAATAGCTTAATAATTAAAGAAAAAATAGAGATTAAGAAAAAATATGTAAGAAAATTAAGTATTAAGAGAAATGAGAGGAGAAATTTTATTTTAATAAATATAAGAAAAACAACAAGGAAATTTAATAAGTAAATAAAACTAAAGAAAACTAAATAAGGAAAATACAATTAAACAAATACATCAGAGCTTTATTTATTTATAATCAAATAAATAAGAAAAGCATAACAAATTGATGGATATATATATAAGAAAGTTTCACTGGAAATAAAACTAAATTTAGAAAATAAATTAAAACTTATGTTTCTCCTGAATGTTTTTAATAAAATCTCATATTTATTTCTTTGTCTTGAAATGATCAGCATAAATCAATCTGAACTGAGTGAATCAGCATTTCTCAGCCAATCAGCTAATGGATCTGCAGAGACTGACTGATGAACATCAGGGAGGTTTGCTGCATCACCGCAGCTGCCGCAGCTTCTGCCGCAGCTTCTGCCGCAGCTTCTGCTGCAGCTTCTGCCGCAGCTTCTGCCGCAGCTTCTTATCATTAAAAACAGTTCAATCTTGAGCTGGAATCCACTGACAGACCCTCAGACGGCGTAAAGAACGTCTGGCTGGAAGCAAACCTTCCCATAATGCCTTGCAGGACGCAAACAGACGACCCGGGTCAGAAACAAGAGAGGAAACAAATCCTTCATTCTGCTCCAACGCCTCAGTATTCAGCAGAAACACCTACGAGAAACCATGGCAACGAGTCAGGCGATACACACACACACACACACACACACACACACACACACACACACACACACACACACACACACACACACACACACACATTCCTGCTGTAGGAGGAGGGCGATGATGAATCTGAACGCTGATGCAGCCGCTTCTCCACAGGACAGATTGTCACATTAGAGGTGAATTTATCTCAAACAGGAAGTGACATCACTCCCTCAGATCACTGCATGAGTTTCCGTCACAGACCAAACGAACATAACTCACAGGAAACCCCCAACCCACACTCAGAACCACTGTGATCCAGTAGTCGGGTTCTGAGGTATCAGTGGCCATGTTGGGACTTTCAGTGTTGCATTCAATGACAGCTGGGAAATACCACCGTTCCTCATTCTCTCAGCTCTTTTTTGGAGAGAGGAAATGTCAAAATAACGACAATGTCTCTGAGATTATGGCAGAGGAAGTGACGTCATGATGTGTGTGTGTGTGTGCAGGAAGTGACATCACAATGCGTGTGCAGGTGTCCGCACCTCTTCGGCTCGCTCCGTCTGTCCCTGAGAATAAAGCCAGCGAGGAGATTCTGGAAGAGTTCTGCAGCAAAACACAGACAGGACGCACTAATCAGCAACAACAGAAATCTAACATGCAGATTTTATTCTATTAAAAATCTCACAGCTTCACTGCGATTTTCCGACGATCCAACAGCAGGAGAAAGAATTCAAACCCAGTAAACTTTTCCATATTTGGCCTTTCAGTTTTTATTCATCGTTTTAGTTGTAAAAAATGTTTTGAATCGTATAATTTTCTTTCTGCTTCACAGTCATATTACACTTTGTGTTGGTCTGTCACATTAAATTCAAATTAAATATATTTATGTTCATGGTTGTAATGTGACACAATATGGAAAAATTCAAGTGGTGTGGATACTTTTGAAAGTTTGGGATTAAGTTGCATTTAATCTGCAGTATTTTTGAACTGAACTGAGTTGTGAGGCCGTTTCCTCTGAATATCTGAGATAAAAACAGATCAAAGCTCTGAAACCAAACATGTCTGCATCCTGTTTGTTTCACACAACAGCTTCATCTCCCTTCATTCAGATTTTATTTTCATTCAGGCACGTTTCATCTCCTCTGGCACCTCAACATGCAGCACAAATAAACTCTATAAATGAAATGAACCCAGAAACATATTTTAATGCTGATGCTTCAAACAGGCTGAAAGGAGCTTCAGCTCAGGACTTTAACCTCCAACCTTCGTCCTGAACTCATTAACATCAACGTTATTTATGGAAAAGGTTAAGCCAGAGTGCTGCTCTGGTTTCTGCAGAGACTTAGATAAATAAATCATAATCAGGATTAACTCAGCAATGATTTAGCTACTTATTTCTAAAGGCAGATCAAACCGTCAGAGAAGCTCATCTCACCTCTGAGGATCTCAGAAATCTGTTCCTCCAGGGTTGTAGATTTTAAGGAGAAGCGTTTCAGCTGCTTTCTACTCCAGATCTGAAGCTGCAGCGACCAACACATTCTCTCTCTCCGTTATTGTTTAGGCTGGGAAACTCTGAGGAAAGCCCAGATTAGTTCCACTACCTGCAGAGGATTTCCTCCTCCTCGTGAGTTTATGGTTTTAAACAGAAACCAAAACAGAAATGATGAATTTCCCAGCCTGACTCTGACCTTCAGTCACTCCCTGCCGTCATTCATGACTTCACTGAAGATCTGAACAAACCCTTAGTGGTTTATAAACTCTGCAGATGTTCCTCTTTAGGTTCACTTCCTTGTTTTTACAGAAAGGATCTGTTGATTTGGTTCAGAGCGGTCAGGACTTTACCAGGACTCTGGTAAAGTCCTGGTAATCTGTTCAAGGAACAGATTAATCCTAATCTGTTCCTTGAACAGATTAGGATTAAATTTTTTGTACAAAATTATTCTTCGATAATCAGGTTTTATCTGCTCAGTTCTGCCTATTTTGAGGTCTCTGTCACTTTAAATCCACATAACCTGCTGCTGGCCACGCCCCCAGCTCAACGTTTACACTCGTCAGATGCGCAATTATACAACCGTACATCGTTGAAAAGCGTCAGTAGAACCTGCAGCAAATTGTTTCTGGATGGCAAGTCAACAACAAAACACTCCTCGTTTCCAGCAGCCATTGTACAGCAGTAAAACCAGCTGACCAAACATGCTGGAGCTCAGTTTGGGTTGCTAGGTAACAGGTGTAGCTCTTCTGGGGCTGTAGGTTTTGGAAGATGTTTGATCATTTATCCAGAAACCACCTTGGTGTTTTTGAAGGGCTTGGGATGTTTTTAGAAACAGTTCAGACCCAAATGGAAGTACAAAAATGTGCAAATGTGAATTCTGCATAATAGTTTAAACTTCATGCTAACCTTGGACTTTTAAAGTAAAAATCACAGATTTTCTTCAAAATACTAGCTTAGCTTCACAAATTCTTACCTTATTATCAAAGGAAGTTGATATTTCAAATTCAAAAACACTTTATTGACCCCAAAGAGAAATTAAATCATTATGCAGCTGAGTTTCTACTCACACAGACAGCAGGAAGAACAGGACGCCAGAGGAGTTGGCCACCATGGCCAAAGTCCTCCAGGGCCGGACGAAGTAGCCCAGCGCTCCGAACAGAGCGATGCCGACGGCGAAGATCATGCTGGTCAGCGTCCCTGCAGAGACAAGCAGCTGCAGCTAACAGAGTCCAGGCAGCAGGGGGAGCGAGCGGGTCAGCGGCGCCGTACCGGTCATGGCCCAGTAGGACTTCCCCACGTACTCCTGGGTGAGGACGAAGCAGACGAGGCCGATGCCTCCGTTCATCAGCCCCACCAGGAGCCGAGAGGCGGCAAAGACCTCGTAGCTGGGCGCCAGGGCGGTGAGGTAACCGAACATCACTTCGAAGAACAGACCTGGGGGTCAAAGGGGGCAGAGCATGAGGAGGACCCAGCAGAGCCTGGAGGAGGCGCATAACTTAATTATTGATATCTGAAATAAAGGCTAAATCTGCTAAAAGCAGATTTTATGCTAAAACTGCCTGCCTTAGCCTCCTGGTTACGCTGCTGGAGTAAAACATCCCAGCTGATGATTAAACTCTGAGTGAAACTCCTCCACCTCGTGTCTGATCCCATCTGCTCGTTTATTCCTGCACTGAACCTTCAGCTGATTCCTGACACACTGGGATACAGCATTCCAGGCTGGGAGCAACGCGACAACCTCCAGCAACGATAAAGCAACAGGCAACCCTGATCCTGCTGGTCAAACCAACCTGATCCCCGTTTCCCCTCACCTGTCAGGTAGACGGGCCTCCGTCCGATCCGATCGGAGAGCGGCCCGAAGACGACGTTCCCCACCAGCAGCCCGGTGAAGAACAGCGACCCGGCCAGGCTGACCTTATAGGCCTGCTGTCTGATGAGAACCCACTGAGGCGCACAAGGACAGGAGGAAACCCGTTAAAGCCTCAGTGTTTTACTTCCTGTCTGCGGACATTCGGCTCTGCAGACCTCGGTGACGATGGAGTCCACATCCTCGGTAAAGATGACATGCTGCTGCAGCTCCCGGTGGCCAGACGAACCACCGTCCTGATTCTCGACCCGATACTCTGGTGTGTATCCGACCAGAACGATCAGCATGGACTGGCAGGCCATGTAGACCTGAAACACAGCACACCAGATCATATCCCCTACTCCAGCATTTCTCCAACCATACGGAGATTTAAAGATGAGCAGCAAAAGCAGTGCTTGGCACTTTCTTCAGTCAGAGGCTTCATCAGGTTGATTGCAGCACTGACTGCTCCCAGCATCAACATCATACCAGCAGAACCAGTTTCCTTCCAGAATTTTATGCTTTTTAATTTAAGACACTGAGCCTTAATACAAACTGTTCTTAGACCAATTCTTAGATTACGCAGATCTTCTTGACTGAAAGGAAACTGTTCTGATGGCTAATAAACCTTTAAATAGGTTTCATTTACCTTCATAAGGTCACATTTTAGACCGAAACGTTCATAAAACGGACACTTAGAATAAATTTACGCATTCTTATAACCAACACGACCTTATAGGTTTATGGTAAACTCGCCAACAGTCTGAAGTATTTATGGAAGATTCATTTCCACACCAGGGTCAATATTTGGATGTTTGTTGTTGTTTTGGGCTCATTCTGACAGCCACGTAGCGCTGCAGCTACTGCTAACGGACAGTTTCATGTCTGTTTTTTCTTTTGTTTTCTATTTAATCGTTTAAAATATATTTGAATGTGACAAACCTGCGCCAGAACCAGCACGGTGACCGCCCGCTTCTGGTACGGCCCAAACTCTCCAACCGTGTGGAAAGCAGTCTCTATATCCATGCCACCGAGGCCGAGCCGAGCTGGCAGCTAGCCATGCTAGCATCGCCGCACAAAGATGAGCTGCACGAGCAAGATAGTTAGCTTCTTTTACTTCCGGGTTCACTTCCTCGTAAATCTATTTGAATGTTTTATAAAGCTTCGGTCAGCAACACAGCTGAGAACTCAAAATGATATGCTAACTTAAATGTTTGTGCAGAGTTTTAGCGCAATATGTTGCGTCTGAAACCGATGTGAGCCAAAGCAAGAGTGTGCCCTACCTTAATTTCCGAGTTCGCTTCAGTTCAGCGTGAGTGACGAAATGAAATTTACTCAAGAAGGCACTTTACGTTACAGAGCAGTGGAAAAACGAATTATATGAGTATCCCAGGACAAACAGACATTTCCGGTCCAACACAAAAATAAACGAGTCGCTTATTCCTGTTGTTTCTTTTGTTGTTGTTGTTTTGTTTGCCTCAACTCTGGACACTGACAGTGTCGCCAGTCAGACATGCGTTACAGAGACTTTATATAAAACAGAGAAAATTATGGACAGCATCTTGTTAAGCTGCGTTAACCATAGAACTACGCAAATTGCTCTTGCAAAAATAATTCACTTAATGGAAACAAGCCAATTTCCGGGAAAATAAGGTACGTTTTTGGATTTAAAAAACTGCGCCAACATTAAGGTATCCAAATGAATGTACAGTATTTGCACAACTGCAACAGAAATACTTTTTGCGCCACACGAGTCAGGTGATCAACAGCTGGACGATACTAGCGAAAACCACGAGGAAGACGACAGGAATTAGTCTGACTTATGGTTGTAGTTGGTTGTTTTTTTTTCAGACAATGACCAGCTGGCTTCACCAGCGCTCTCACGGCATCGCACAGTTCATAAAAAGTTGTATTTAAAACATAACTCTTCTGTAAAATGGCTGGCTACAATTTCCCCAAACAACATGTAAGTGTTTACATCCATGATGTTTAATAACTTCTATGCATAGCTTATTGGGCAATTTACCTTTTGGGACGAATAAAGTTTTTTTTGTAATTCTTTTTTTAATTATTATTACTTTTCACGATGTAAACCAAGAACAAATGGCGGCTTCTTGATAAGTCAAACAACAAATGCTGCTCCAATTGCTAAAACGGCCACAAGCAGAATCGCAGGCAGCGGGACCGGACCGCTGCTGCTCTGGAAGGGTTTGCTCTGCTTCTCGCTGATTGGATTCTTCACTTTGCAGGTGTAGTCTGAAAACCTCTTGGTGTTCTTGGTAAAGGAAATGCTGAACGTCTTATTCCCCTCCTTCCATTGTTCCGTTTTTCCTGTCTTCCAGAAGTACTGGACGGGTTCGGCACCTTGAAACTGTCCACCACAAACCAGGGTGCAGTTCTTAGAGGTAAGACTGCTGCAGCCCTTGGGCCTCACGGACACTTCAACAGGGTAGCCGTCCAGCTTCCTGATCCCCGCGACGATAAAGCTGACAGGAAGCGTCTTGTGGTTGATCTCCACCGTGAACTCCCCGCTGTCAGACTGATTCACGTTGCTGATGGTCAGTACTCCGGTGCTCAGGTCCACGTTTGTTCGGCCTTTTAAGTCACCCAGATATTCCAGAGGAACCGAATCCTTTATGTATTCAGCTATAATGTTCCCTTTATGCTTCCAGGTGAGCATGGTGATGGCCTTAGTGTAGTTCGGGTTGAGCTTCAGAGTCCGGCCGATCTCAACGTAAACGGGCAGCTTCTGAGCCGCGACCGCCAGCAGGATCAGCATCAGGAGGGAGAGACCAGCCGTCACAGCCATGACGGAGCGGATCTATGGGGTAACCCGCCCTAAATGTCGACGTTTAACTTGAAGAACTCCACCCAGCCTGGGTTTGTGATCAAAATGGCGGCCGTTCTCCTTGGCGGTTGGAAAGAAACGTGACGGTTTGTATACAACGGCTCGCAGCTCGTTGAGTAAAACAAAAAATCTGTGTCATAGTTATTGGACTTTTTATTATTTTCTCTCTTTACTATTACCAAAATTGTGAAAAAATTTAAAAATTGCCTTTTTGTGTCCAAACATCCTTTGTTTGTTTGGTGATTTGGCGCTCAGATGCTAAATGTGACTGTGCAGTGAAGCCACCTAAAAATTAATATTGGACGTTTAAGTTATTAAAAGAGAGATCCACGGGCTCAGAGAGACATCCGGAGATGAAGCAGTCATGAACTTGCTTCATTTCTACTCTCTGACAAACGTTTCAACAAGATTTAACTCAGAAATTAAAGTTTATGAATCTAACAAAAGATAAGTTGAAACATTTAAGTTCAATAATGTTGAATTGTGAGTTTTAACTTAATGCTGTAATTTAAACCAAATATTTATTTCACAATAAGAAAAATCTGTCCTTGCCTAGTTAAACAGCATACATTTCTCTATTATTTTACTCACAATGTCAAGATAAATAATTATTTTACTTTAGAATAATATAAATCCTTCTTTTCAAATTGCATTAACATAATTTCTGATCTTATAATACATTTTATTAAACATCACAAATAATTCTGCTCTAAAACATCCAGTGTGAACAGAATATTAACCTCAAACTGACAGTTAAATTAACATTTGCCTTATAACACAAGAGTCATCTCAGGATCTCAGGATACAAAAACCTGCCGCTAAGAACTCTGGGAAATAATTCACACTCCTGTGTTCTTTCACTTTTTCTTTTTTTTAGAGTGCTAACCTTAAAACTCTAGTTTAACTCTTGGAGGTTTGACAAAATTAATAAAAGGTTAACAACTATAAGTTTATCTTTCACAAATTTAGGTTCATAATCTAAAACTCACTAAATTTATTTGACTTAGAGTACAAGATAGTAAACACAACTAAATGTGGCTCAAATGTTTTACAGTGTCTGTGCGATGAGCGAAATTTGTCAAAAAATGGTTGCAGTGCCCTTGTTTCCTCTTTATTTATCAAATATGGCTTAAATTGCCAATACTTTGATGCCTAAAATATGTATTAATGAGCTACAACATTTAATTTACCTTTGGGATCAATAAAGTATTTTTACAAATAAATTATTTACATTTTTCACTCCCAACCAAGGAGATTTTGAACAAATGGCGGCTTCTGCATAAGTCATCCAACAACTGCTGCTCCGGTTGCCAACATGGCTGCCAGCAGAGGCGCAGGCAGCGGGACCGGGCCGCTGTTCGGTTCCGTCTTGAACGGGTTCGCTGTCGGGTCGCTCTCCTTCTCACTGATTGGTTCTTCGCTCTGCAGCTGAAGCTTTCCAAGCTAAGAGTCTCATTGTTATTAAAATGATCACATTTTTCCCCTTCCTTCCAACTTTCAGCCGATCTCGAAACATATTATCTATACTTGCAGCCTCCTATGGAGGACCTCCATATCCAAGAAAGAACTCGAGTAAAAAAATATTTTTTAAAGTTTACTCAAGTAATGAGTAACTGATCAAATTATCTTTTAATGTTAAAAAATTACATAATCAAAATAAAGTTAATGAGTTCGTGTTAGTTCTAAAATGACTAAATTAGTTTTAAGTGTAATCAATTGATGTTTCAGGCTAAAATGTCACTTTTAAAGCTGAATGAAACCGAGTTAAACGATTAATAGAAATCAGCAGAATAGTTTTCTTTCAGTCGAGAAACTAAATCGTCCAGAATCTCCTCGCTGGCTTTATTCTGAGAGACAGACGGAGCGAGTCAAAGAGGTAAAGATGCATCATGACATCACTTCCTCAGCAACACTCACCTCATCTTTACGTTTCCTCATCCTGATAAAAAAAAATGACACAATGAGAAGAGTGGCGATAGTTCCCAGCTGTCATTGAATGCAACACTGGAAGCTAAACAGTGTATCATTTGCAAGCTACGGGATATTGGGTACAAACCCATTAAATGTTCCTTGTAAGATTCAAAACTATGCAATTCATGCTCAAAGTAAGAAACCATCAACTTCCACACAATATTCAAAAAATGTTTTGTGACAATAGGGGATTGATCTGGAGAAGGAAATAAAAACAGGGTTTGTATGTCAGTATGTGTGGCAGATTTATGGAATGGATTAACTGATGAGTTTAAACAAAGTAAAAATATAAACCTGATCTAAAAACTGTTCAAAAAGGAGATTATTGGGAAATATGTTGTGTAGGATGGATGCCTCAAAGACCAAAAAGGAGATTATTGATATAAAAAATGTATGAACAATTGTAAATTTAAGGATGAGAATGTGAGTTTTAAGTGTCATTCAGTGTGGGAATAAATTAAGAGTTTATCTGGTGTGGTGAGACTCAAATGTTTGTAGGTTGATAAGAATAAAGGGCAGGAAATCAGACCATCTTTTTCTACCTACTCCTTTTTGAACAAATTATGTAAAAATGCATGAAGTGGGCATGATAGCTTTGTTTTATTCATTTGTTTCTGTTTTTACTTTTTGTCTCTTTGAGATATTAATAAACCTGACTGAGGGATTCTTACTTTAACACTGCTTGGTTATTTTTCTTAACAATCGGTTTCATTTTCAGCCCTAAAGCAGAGGAGGAGTCCTGGAGACGAGATCTGCTGGTTTACTCACATTTCTCTAGTGGAGTCAGAATAAGTTGGGTAGTAACTACTTACATTTACTCAATTACATTTGCTTGAGTAACTTTTTTGAAAAAAAGATTACCTTCAGGAGCATTTTTTATCTATAATTTTTGCTTTTATTTGAGTAATTTTATTACAAAGTGTTTCTACTCTAAGTTGAGTAAAACTTCTGGATTTTCTACCCACTAAAAGAGAAACGAACATGTTCCTGCAGGCTCTCGCTGCAGGAGCTGAAGTCGTCCTCCAGGGAGTCCTGCAGACAAACCGGGTCAGAACCAAGACATGCTCACAGAACCAGCTCACAGTCAGGGAGCTCACCTGGTCAACCTGGCTCTGCTTGTCGTCCTACATTTTTTTATTCAATGAAAAATGATTTAGATTTTTCCTGGTTTTATTTTTTGTTTTCCAGATGTAATTGTCATTTCCATCATTAGAACATTAAAATTTCCACTTAACTCGCCAACAGTCTTAAGTGTTCATGGAATGTTGCTTTTCACAAATAGAAGTAATATTTAGAAGTTTATTGTTTTCCGTCTCATTTTCTCTTATTAATCACCTAAAATATAATTATTTAAGTGACAAACCTGCGTGTGGATCCTACCGTGTGGAAAGCCAAGCCAGCACCGCCACACAAAGATGAACTGCACGAGCAAGATGGATAGCTGCTGTCATTTCCGAGTTCATTTCCTCGAATTCCTATTTACTGTTTATAACGAGTTCGTGTTAGTTGTAAAAACGACTAAATTTGTCAAATTCCTAATTTTTGTCCCGTTCATTCGAAAGCTTTGGACAGCAGCACAGCTGAGAACCCAAACTGATAAAGTTTTATGCGGATTTTTATTTTAACCTCATTCAGCGGCGATCCGAGCTGGCAGCTAAACTTAGATCATACCCTGCATTGACCTTCCGAGTCCACTTCCATGTAGATTTACAACCGTTACTTCAGTTTATTATCAAGCCCCACAGCGACACAACTGAGATCTCTCATTAATAATCTAAATTGAAAGGTGTCTGCATATTCTAACCATTTTAGCAGCACCTGAAACCGATGTTTAAGTGACGCTACAAGCTAGCAGCTAAATTAAGTGTGTGCCCTGCCTAAACTTCCGGATTTGCTTCAAAGCGACTTTCACGTAATGCCTTCAAGTTTTTGACTTCCGACAAAGAAACTCGTCAGAGTCAGCGACGCAATGATTATTTATTTTAAAAGGCACTGTACATAGCAGTGGAAAAACGAATAAATACATGAGTAGCACTGAAAACAAGCTTTTATAGTCCAACACAAAAATAAGATGCTTAACAGTTTTAATTCCATCCATCAATCTCTCTCTCTCTCTCACACACACACACACACACACACACACACACACACACACACAGGGTAAGTCACAGATCACACTCGTTTTAAAGCCTGAGCTTCCAGGGGAAACGGCTCACCATCTTCCTGTGTCTCCCTGAGCAGCTCCAACTTATTCCAGTGCATTTAAAAACAAACTTAAAAAGCATATTGCGTCCAAGCTACTAGTCAATCGCGTGGTTTTATCATAATACATAGACATTTGGGAATACCTCATCTGATTCTTAAATAAGTCGAAGTCCTGTGCAAAAACTGAGTCACATTGAATCTGTTTCACCAGAGGCACAGTGGAGAGATTTCCCTAAAATAGATAAAATGAGGTTTTTACAGCACAACAACATTAAATGGATATGAATAATAACGCATTACATTCATTAAATCATTACTGTTCATTATCCAAAGGTCTTTAAAAACAATGTTATCAAGCTTTCTAAAACTCCTGATTCACATCCAGACATGATCAAACTACTAAAATGATGGAAAACAAAACCATTTTAACAAATTCATATGGTAAAAAAAAAAAAAAAAAAAAAAAAAGATTATATTTGAGACAACGCAAATTTGTTTTCCCTCATTCAATAACACAAAGA